CCGCCACTTCCGGAGCGGGCCGGGCGCCTTCCTCCACAGCCTCTTGGTTCCAGGCCCCCCTCCCACCAGGCAGCTCTTGGCCACCGGGTTGGGCTCCAGTCACCTCGTCCGTGCGTCCTACCGCGGCGCTCTCCAGGGACCCGCTCTCGCTGCAGCTCACCAGGGCGGAGGCGTCTTGCTCCTCTCCAGCCGCATGTTCGGGCTCCCAGGAGCCAGCGGTTTCTACGAGCCCCCTGTCGTCCCTCAGCTCAGGCACGTTGGCATCCACGCTGCATCTTGGCCACCGGGTTGGGCTCCAGTCACCTCGTCCGTGCGTCCTACCGCGGCGCTCTCCAGGGACCCGCTCTCGCTGCAGCTCACCAGGGCGGAGGCGTCTTGCTCCTCTCCAGCCGCATGTTCGGGCTCCCAGGAGCCAGCGGTTTCTACGAGCCCCCTGTCGTCCCTCAGCTCAGGCACGTTGGCATCCACGCTGCAGACCTGCGGGGCCTGGGGCAGGGCTCGTGTCCAGGCCGGTGTGGCGGGAGACTCCATCTCCAGTGGGTCTCCGAGGGGCCGAAGCGGAGCCAAGACAGGATGCCTGGGGCTGCATTCCTCCCTGCACCATGCAGACGCCTGCCTGGCTTCCTCAGTGGCTTCGCCTCGCAGGGCCTCCCTGGCTCCCTCTTCAGGCACTGCAGTTTCCACAGGCTCCCCCGGGCTCGCAGCCGGAGCAGCTGCCTGCGGCTGGGTCTCAATCGCCGCAGCGACGGGCGAGGCCCCAAACTCGGGTTCCGGGACCGGTTCTGCGGCCTCGGCCGGTTGTGGCTTCTCTTGGGGGCTCGTCCCCGGCATCTCGAGGTTCTGGTCAGTGGCGCCACTTGGCTCTGCCGGCGCCGTGCTGCCGGGCCTGCTCTGGTCCGGTTGAGGGTCTCTTGGGTGGGAATCTTTGGTCTCGGTCTGGGGGTGCAGCTGCGCTGGCTCAGGGAGGCGGCTGTCCGCTGGGGCTGGCTCCTGGCTCGGGGCTCCCTGCCCCCCCGTTGGTTCTGCGCTCAGCGGCACGGCAGCCGCCTGGGGGAGCAGCGAGGACTCCGCTGGGCTGAAGGACGTCTCCCCACGGCTCTCGCGCTCAGACGCTGGCTCCCCGTCCTGCTGCCAGCAGAGCGTGCTGCTCCCATCCAGCATCACGTGGAGGTCCAGGCTTTGGGGCTCTGTCTCCCCAGGAGGGAGGGGGGGCTCTGGGTGTGGAGCCAGCACCTTGTCCAGCATGGGCTCCATCTGGCCAACTGTGTCCAGGAGTGCATTTGGCTCTGGGTCCTTTCCTCCCAGAGAGGCCTGGGGACCTAGGCTGGCTTCCACGCACAGCTCCCCTCGTTCCTCGTTATTGTTGACTTGGTCGAGGGAGACCTCCTCCAGCTCTTCCTCGGAGGAGGAGAAGCAGGCGATCAGGCACTCCCCTACTGGCTCGCTGTCGGCTCGGGCCACTTCTGGCTGCTCCAGGCTGGCTTCATCGGCCCCCAGCCGGGCCTCAAAGGGACCCTCGCTCTTCCCTTCCAGGTCCTGGCCGTCCTGGTCTAGCAGGGCCAGGAGATGGGCTTCCGACTCCTTCAGCCTGGCGCTGATCTCGAGCGCGGCATCATCGCTGCCTTTCCCCACGGGAGGCTCCGCTAGCGCGTGGGGAGCCGGCTTCTGCTCCCAGGGCAAGGGGATTGCGGTTCCCATCCCCTCCCAGCCTCTCCAGGGCATTGCGCACACCTCGGCCGTTGCCTGGCTCGTGGGCTCTGCATTCGCCACGGCCGCCTCCAGTCCAGGGAAGGCCTCAGCCTCCTCGTCCGTATCGAAGCAGGCGATCAGGCACTCCGCATCGGGGAACCCCTTCTCCAGGGCCTCCTGTGTGTCTGACAGCGAGGACCGGTGCCCGAGGGAGCTCTCCGAAGGGGGGTCGCTCTGCCCTGGCGAGTCGCCTGCCCCATCAGAGTCAGCTCTCCAGAAAGACCCCCTGGGAGACGTGGCGCTGGCTGGTTTCAGGGAGGGACTCCAGCTGCGGCCTGGGGGCGAAACGCTCCGGCTCTCTGGGCTCTCTTCAGCATCACTGAGCCCGTCCGCTGGCGGCTCGGCGAGAGGCTCGGATTTCGGCATCTCCTCCCCTTGGGCAGGCGGATGCTGCTCTTCTGCCTCCGTGATTCCTTCCGGCTCATCCTCGGGAGCCACACTCCCCTCTGGCTCTAGTCCGACTTGTGCCTCCGTGGGCGGGACCCCGCCCAGCTCTGAGAAAGCCGCATATTCCTCATCCGTGTCCGAGGCATCCGACGACGTCTCCATCTCGCTCTCGCTGCCGGAGCAGGAGGCCCCCGGCTCCGAGTCCCCCGCTGCAGGTTTCTCCCCTTCCTGAGCCGAGGGGGTCACCACGGCGTATCGCTCGGTGCTGTACAGCTGCACGTCCGCCTCGCCGTCATAGGAGGCAGAGTCGGAGGACGGGGAGGTGTCGTCCTGGTAGGCAAAGGACTCGTCCACACCCTCGTTGATGGAGTTCTCCGACAGGGAGTGCTGGAAGGAGGCCGAGGTGTTGTCTTCCTCCATGCCGTAGAGGTCGTTCTCCACCGACTCCCCCTGGGGGAACAGCGTGATCTCCAGCGACTCGGCCTCGAAGATCAGGCTGCCGCAGAAGGGCAGCAGCGTGGCCGGGATCATCTGGTCGTTGTCCGGGCCCTCGGCAAAGTTGGGGGGCAGTTCGGCCGAGGAGGCGGTGGGCTCCGCTTGCAGGCTGCTGGGCGTCTCCGCATCCGAGGAGCAGCTCGTCCCGGCGGACAGGCTGCTGGACTCCGACTGGAGGCCCGGCAAGGGGGTGGGGGAGCAGGACGACAGGCTGGACTCCAGAGGCTCTTTCACTGCCTCCCTGGCCCCCAGGTTGGCCCCGACTTGCTCCAAGGTGAAGATGTCCATCTTCAGGAGCCCCCCGTCCAAGGGGCTGAGCCGCGGCTCCGTTTCGTCCCCAGAGTCTTCTTCTGGCTGGGGCAGGTCTGTCTCCGGAACGGGCAGCAGCTCTCCAGAAGCCTGGAGCTCTGTGGTGCGAGGGACCCGTGCAGCAGAGGTAGCAATGTCAGAGTCCCGCTCTCCTTCCGGCGTCATCTGGCCATCCAGTTCCTCCTCGGCTGGCTCTGGAGCCAGAGCCGTGTGTCCAGAGCCGAGGGAGTCCAAAGACACGCCCCCTTCCTCCTCCATCTGCTCCGGAGCCAGGCCGGAGTGCCTGGGAAATAGAGCTGGCTCCGAAAGTTCCGGCTCCAACAGGGGTTCCTCATACGCCGCCGAGGCCTCCAGGGTCTCCGACTCAGCGATCAGGTTGGGAGAACAAGACGGGGAGGTGCTGGAGGTGCCCGAGGAGGCCCAGCTACCCCCCTCCGCCGTGATGTAGGACCCGGAGGGCGAGGTGGGGGGGGAGCCGAGCCCTTCGCTGTCCAGCTCACCCTGCTCCTCGCTCAGGCTGTCCTTGGCGTAAGGGTGGTGCTTGAGGTGGGAATAGACGGTCTTGATGGGCGTCGAGGGGGCTGTGAAGTACAGGTCCGGGTCCAGGGCTGGCTTGCCCTGCGTGGATTCCCCCTCAGCCAGCTCGGGGTGGGCGTCTTTGGCAGGCAGGGGAGATGGGGAAGGCACAGCGGCCGTGGTTTCACCCTGAGGTAACGCTATCTCCTTCGGCACCAGGCTTGGCTCTCTGGGCTCCCAGGGCAGCGGCCGAGGTGGCTGGTAGACGCACACTTGCCGGTTGTCTCTCGACTTCGGGCAGGGAGACTCGCCCAGCGTGACCTGGGCCAAGCTCTTCCCAGCATCCTCCAAGCTGCTCTCTGGGATCGGCTCTTCCTCCTCACTCAACTCCTCTCCCACGTCGGCCACCGGGCCCACCGCCTCCG